CTCTTTGATGAAAATGCGGAAATTCACACCCACCCTCTGAGGCTATTTATATACGGACAAGTATTTCCCCACTCAGCCATTGGGAATGGCAACAACTGCTTACCAGGGCCATTTTGACAAATTGATATTTTCAGATTGGAGTGAACAAATATAATTACGAAAGGGTAAGAGAACGAAAAATCAACCATACAACGTTTAATAATCGAGAGAATATCCAGGGGAACATGTTTCGGACAGTCATGTGCTCATCATCAGCCTCAATCCTTACAAACCAAAGGTCTTATAATATGATACGAGTTAATTATGAGAAATATATGAATTAGAGAATTTACTCACGTGAGAATGAAAAAACAACAAAACTTTGCAGAGTACCGGCTAAGGGCAGGGTTTTGTAAAGGGGTCCTGTACCCCTATGAGGACGTACATGGTCAAGATTTGATGGCAAAACCCAATTTTGGAAAACCCGAAAGAAACGGTGGAGCATGAAGGAAATGCTACAGAGGCAGTTCCTTGAAACATGGTGGGACACACCAGGAATGAGACAATCAAAGCTCCATATAAGGAACCTTCAAAAAGGCTCACGAGAGAGATCCTGTCACTTAATAGAAGGGATCTCAAGAAGGTAGTTGGGCTCTTAACTGGGCACAACCACCTCAACAGGCACCTAGAACTCATAGGGATCAAAGATGATCCCATCTGCAGATGGTGCTTGGAGGATGATGAAACATCATTACACATACTCACTGAATGCCCCGCGCTGGTGCATCAGAGGAAAGCTGCCTTTGGGAGCATTGTACTGCACCCAAAGGATGTGAAAGTGACTCAGCTGAGGAAGCTGCTGAATTTCGCCAAAGAAATCGGCATGCCCAGCTGATTCACAGGACAAGTGGGCGCACAATGGGCCCGACTGAAGAGGCCTGAGTGCAGGGGTCTACGCACCCGCCCACCTGTGCAGAGAAGAAGAAGAAGAAGAAGAAGAGAAGGAACGGTGGAGCCAAATAATTACTCGAAAACAAACCTACCTCTTCAGATGATGAAGGACAATAAGTGACGTTTTTAGCAATCCACAAAACGCAAAACACAAGTTCTGTGATGACAAGACACATATGACAGTGACAGATATCAACTGTCCGTACATAAAGAATAGTAGACGGCCAGAAGCACCACTCGACCTGAAACAATGAGAAGACCTAGGTACATATATTTGAATGAACATAAAGGCGGGTAGTAGAGTCCAAAGCAGGACAAAAAACTTAAAGATGAAAATGAAAGTTGATAAATGAAAAACCAGAAAATTTCAAAGTTTCTGGCAATCAAAATGGGTTTATTTTTTATTCAATTTCGGAAATTTCAAATAGGTTGAGAAGTGCCCCTTTCTGACAAATATGTAAAATTTCCAGGTCGTTATTGATGTGGAAAGAATGTTGTTTGCAAATGAACTCTTTGTGTTATATTCATCAATATGGGGGTTCACTGATTTTTCAACTATTTTCACATGTTCAAGTACTCTGGTATGAAATATTTTTTCCTGCTTTGGTCTCTACTACTACTATATTCATTCAAATATATGTATACTTAGGTATCTCCTCATTGTTTCAGGTCGAGTGGTGCTTCTGGTCGTCTACTATTCTTTATCTACGGACAGTTGACATTTGTCACTGTCATATGTGTCATATGTGTCATCACAGAACTTACGTTTTGCGTTTTATGGATTGGGATTGCTTGAAACGTCACTTAATTATTTGATTCCACCGGTTTTTCCAAAAATGGCTTTTGCCATTAAATCTTGAACATATACGTCCTCATAGGAGCACAGGAACCCTTCACAATCAACCTGGCCCTTAACCGGTTCTTTGCACAATAATTATATTCAAAGTTTCTCATAATGTTTTCTCATTTCCACGTGAGTGAATTCTTGATTTCATATATTTTTCATGATTTCACGATATAATAGGACCTTTGGTTTGTAAGGATTGAGGCTGATGATGGACATATGACTGTCCGACCTGTTTTCTGTTGAATGAACCGTGAAAGAATTGATAATCACAAGGAGAATGCGAATTCTCAATGTATTTCTTAATATAAATATCCATTTTTTTGTGTTCATAAATATATCTGGGAATGTTCCTTTTCACTTGTTGAATAATATTTAAAAAAATCTAATAACTGTATCTCAAAACTAACAGAAATCGTAGATTCATTTCCTCAGTTGATTCAGGATTATCAGCTTGTATAAGCATCATTAGAAATTCTAGGACAGCTAAATATTATTAGATAAACGGATGTTCTATAGGTAGGTATATGTACACACCAAACGAGGCGAGCATAGATCTGTGTGTTTAGATCTATGAAGCGGGTGAAGGAAGATGGAAAGAAACGCCACCTAGTAGCGAGAATGCAACTAGATGATCATTCAACAAAATATTCGTTTGATATAATGTATCTGTGGGTTCTGCTCAGCAAAATTTGAAGTTGTCATAACCAATTAAATTTTGAATAAAAAAAAAACCATTGATTGGTTGCACAATGGAATCAACAAAATATGATGTTGTACTTAGTTGGACAAAGGTCAAAATTGATTTAATATTGTCAAATGAAAAAGATGCATAGGATTGATTGAAGAATGGGATGATAGTTGGATCAACAAAATTTGTTTTATGTGAACTATAAATGTTGTTGAATGCAATGAGACTTTTGTTCAAGTACCTAAGCAAATATTTCAATCAAATTATTTTGTCTTTTTGAATGAGTCGCCTATTTGGAATGAACATATATATTGTTGATTTGGCAAAATTGTATTCAATTCAACAAAAAAAAGACCAATATCATTTTGTTGGTGCAACAATTTTTTTTTTTTTCGTCTAATGAAACACCCTCTATATCATTGTAATTCCATAGTTTTTATCATGGAATTCGGAAGCTTTTTCGTGGAATAAGCTGTTCCTTTATCTTTTTTAAATGAAGACCTGAATTTTCAGTTCCAGTATAATTTGCATTTCATTATGAAGTCCAATAATTATCTCAGATTTTAATGGTTCAACTGAGTTTTCAATTCTAAATTGATTAACACATTTCTTGCTAATTTTCGCGATACTTCAGAAACGTTATTTCCATTTTCTCAGCCGTGAGAAGTTTGGAACTTCACGATGAAAGTGGCGACAGTTTTTCCATTAGGCAGGACGTGCTCCAACTTTCAGATAAGAGTTCTCCGAGGAAGTTCCCTAAATTATTCAGTGCTACGGTTTCTATAAACGAATGTCAAACAAAAATGCGACCGACCTAATCTTTTTGGTACATTCAAAATTCCGTTTCAGAATACCGTGACTAAACTTTTATAAACTCTAAAAATTACCTCATTTTGCTCGCGTTCCAGCTATCAAGATAAGGATATGAGATTGAAATACGATTGAATTGGAAAAAGTTGTGCATTCAGAAGATCATCCCAACAAGTTTCGAACAAATTCGACATTATCACTATTTTTTTCGGCAACCGTCTGGGAAGTACAGTCGTATTAAAAAAAGCGTAAAAGTATTAAACATAGATGATTTCGGCATCCTAGTTCTCGTTGTGTAAAATTGGCTCAGCCAATGCTTTGTGTTTTTAAGAACCGATGATTACTCTACTGTCAACATTTCGTTACATGACGTTAATTTCTCCCTCCAATACAGGGTGTTTCATAATTGAATGCTGATCCTAAAGGGCGATGATCCTTGGATGATTTTAAGGAGAGAAGTTCATATCAACATAAATGTCCTGAACCTCTTATTAGTTTTTGAGTTACAGGGTGTTGAAATCAGAAGCGTACAGCGTTTTTTTAAACAAAACATTCAATATCAGGTCTACGAGGACATCACTGGTTAAAGTGAAAGTTTGATTTTCGTCCCAAAACAAAATGTGTTTCCACTTATAGTGGGTGTCTACTGAATTACCAAAAACAATATCCTAGAACTGAAGGAACAAAATTCTTTGGTTTTTATTTTTTTACGTGAAAACGGTACGTTGTATGAAAGTGAAACTGAGAACCAAATTTGCTCCAAAATGAATAAGAATTGAAAAAAAAATCTGGTTCTCAGAAAAATCAGTGGCGTACTATTTTTTTCTTCAAAAATTGTCAGTTCAAACCCCGTACGGACGCCACTGGTGAGAATTTTCAAATATCTTTCACGTAAAAAAAAATGCTCCTTAATAATGAAAAGGTGTATACAAAATATCATAACAATATCTAAGAGATATAAAAAATTATGATGAAAAAGTCATTTTCTTTTGAAGTTTCATCACCCTGTAGCTCAATAACTAAGAGATTTAGGACATATGTTGATATAAACTTTTCTCTTTGAAATCATCCAAGGATTATCGCCCTTGAGGATCAGCATTCAATTATGAAACACCCTGTATACTTGTACGCTTTTTTTAATACGACTGTACCTATACCTATGAAAAATTAATTGACAACATTATAATTTCTCATCACTTGTAGTATCCCGAAGTTAATATGAAATGAAAGAATATAATATGTTACATTTTAAACTAGTATTTTCATGCAAATATAATAGGTAGAAATCAGGAATATAATATGTTACATTTTAAACTAGTATTTTCATGCAAATATAATAGGTAGTAATCAGGAATCTATATTATTTGTGCCGAAACTGCGACCGAAACTGAATTTATTCATAAACCTGTATGCAAATTAAATGGACGAATGAATTCTAAAATTATTCAATATCCAAACACAATATGGTGTGAAATTTTCTTACCGAATACCACACGAGGTCAAATTACTTTCTAAGAATTTTTTTCTCGAAAAAATTCCCGGAAATAATTTGACCTCTAGTGGTATTACAAGTGACAATAATTTTTTCACAGAATGTCGATATGTAATTGGGATATTTTCTGGATGGGGACCGAAAGGTCAATGTTGATGTCATTATGACGTAGATGTCCTCCAACATCTATACCTGAATACTTCAACTGGGTTCACCTTCAATATTTCTTCCAGGTATGAGAATCTTAGTGATGCTTCTGTTGGACACTCTTCCTATGCTGGGCAACGTGCTACTGCTCTGTTTCTTCGTTTTCTTCATCTTCGGCATCGTAGGCGTACAGCTGTGGCAAGGAGTGTTGAGAAATCGGTGCAAGTTCGAAGAAAAACAGCATCCAGGTATCCAGTTCCCAGCGTGAGTATATCCAAACATTATAGGACCTCGTGGAGTAGCGCAGTCGTAAGGTCACTCACTGTGTACCAGATGAAAATTTGTCCCTGTAAATGATTGACTGCTTGGTCAGGTCCGTTGGCATTGAAATTACAACAAAGTATAAGGTCATGTTAATTTGATTTTCTAACTTTGCATGGCCCGTTATATTGTTGAATAATTTCAGTAAAATAATCAAAACGGTTGTGCTATTTTTTCTACTCACATAACTTGAATTACATTTATTTGCAATCGGCACAAAAAATGGTCCATTTCTGTTCCAAAATCAGCTCTTGAAGTTGACTTTTCTCTTATTGACACTATATAAAATGATTAGTATGTATGTTGCTAGGCAACACGTTCAATGTCTAGGACCTAAAGGTGAAGTTTAATTCCTGAGAACTAAAAACGCGTCGAATGACTGATATTATAGCTGTCATGTCACTGACATGCTCAAAAGACTCAAAATAGTGATATTTTCACTTATATTTTATTAATAAGATATCAAATTATTTCGATTTCTAAAAGAGTCTGTGAGAAAAATCCAATAGCTTATCAGTGACACTTTGTTTGAAAAAAAGTTTGAAGTGAAAATATATAGATATATTGAGGAAGTATCGAATTTTTACTCATCTTTGGACCTATCGGGAATGAATCTGCTCTCGTTCTCAACATAAAAATACAAAATATTTTTCTTCGAAAAAGTTTTTCTTACAGTTTGACACCTTTCAATGACATACTGATGTTGACATTTTTATGAGAGATGATGTCTAGTACACAAATGAGTTACAGGATGTTTTCAATAATTGATCTTGAATCTACTATTGCCATGTTCAATTTCCACTAGTGAATAACATGTCATTGTTCTATCTATATCAATTGAACAGGAAGCAATGCTATCGTCTCCGTTGAGAAGAATGCAAGCGGTTTTCTTGATTCTTCTCTTTTGGTTGTTATCTCCCTTTCCTATTCTTTTGATATTATTAGTATTCATAGGGAAGGAATATAACAACCAAAATAGACAAAACATCCTGTTTTCCATCAACAATAATAATAGCGATTATTTAATTTTCCTTCTATCCCACTGTGTGTGGCTGGGTAATCAAATGAAGATATACAATATCGTTGTATCAGACAAAAAGGTATTTCAAAAACAAGTTATCCAAACAATCAGATGCCGAATGAACTACAGATCGAGCAAGAATGTGAATCTTGAAGGCTTCTTTGATCAAAACAATAATACTTAACTATTTGAGTTATTTATATCTCCAGCATGGGTATGACACGCCAAATCTGGCGAAATCGGAAGCAAATCAGGTATGCGTCCCAACCCGAATAACCAACCGTAACAATAATATTGTTTATTCTTGATGACCTAGTACCTAGTACATCCTTTTCAGTTCCTAGGAGCTGAAGTTTAACTTTAGGAACTAAAAGTTTTGCCTAGCAACATACCTATGTGTCAGTAATAGAAACAACAATTCAAGAGCTAGTTTTGGTATTCAAATGGACGACTCTCGTGTCGGTTGCAAAAAATAGTTGTTTATTATACAAGGGGAAGAAAGGGTAGATTTTTGCTCCAGGTTGTGAGCTAAAATCTTATATTTATCCCGTGTATGATGCACTATTTTTTTGTGACAGGAAAAACGACGAATCAATATTGGGAAGATATCACATTATTTTTGAATCAGAAAATTATCGACGTGAAATCTGATGTTTCTAACAGTAATGACACCTGCGTTGCAGGCATCCTCATCATGCTCTTGAAGTAATCAAATATCTCTCAGTCTAATTCTGTGATTTGATTTTCAAAAATTGCGAATTTAGTGGTTGTTTATGTAACCACGAAGTCGAATGGAAGATAAAAGGACCTGCAGTTCTTTCTTGGAGACGGTGTTTTTGGCTTAATTTTCGGAACTATGCCGCAACGAAAGCCATCAACAGTGTATATATCCGGAAGTACTCACTTTTTACCAGTGGAAAAAAGTAATGTATGAAAAGTGACATTTTTTAACCTGGCAACAGAGATGAAATTGCAAACATTTTCCCGACACAAAAAAATCAACTATTTCTCCGATTCATTTCCTCTTTTGAACTATATCAATTGCGAAATATTGAAGTTCAATGACTATCAATAAATCAAACGACCGAATTGGCATACTGAAATAGTTACAGCAGTATACCCAGCTATTTAATCATATTACAATCAAGTGGTTAATAATATACAGGGGCAAATGATTGATGCATAATTATGAATACCTATTGATATCGGGTTGTTATAAAAAACATAAACATGAAAAATCAACATGACTCTACCTTCACGATAGATTTTCATCGCTTGTGTTTGTGTCCGTTTGAATCCAAAAACCAAAATTTGCTTGATATATCACAAAAACACAGATCAACCAACTACCAGGTGCGAGATGCTGCCTTGATGTTCGATAGCTCTAATTTCGTGACCTTGAATTATACAACCGTATACACGGGGAAAAATGTATAGTTGATTTGACACCCTTCGATTTATACTGAAAAAACATGCTTGCACCATGGACTTGTACAGAGTGGCTGGAATTCGAGCCACATCATTGGGATCTCGTAAGAGATACAGGGTCGGTTATATCATGGCAGAGTTGCGTCATTTTTGACCTTGAATGCCGTTTCCAAACTTGGGAAATTCCGAATACCTTCTTTGGAGATACGAAAAAAACCGAAATTTCCTAAATCCTCCTAATTTTTCATTCAAGTTACTTGAACTGCTTTATCGAAATATTCTGTATATTTTTCAATATTCAATAGAAAACTGTAGATATTTTGTAAATGAAACATCCGAGAATCATAGTCGTAGCCAGACAGGGGCAGTTTTGGGCACTTGACCTCCCCTGGTCCAGCCAAAAAGAAAGTCAAAGAAAGTTTTCTGCATGATAGGTTATATTTATATACTCATTCGGCTCGTGCCTATTTATATCAAATTGTGTGTGCATTGTAATGCATGTCATTTCATCCTGCTATAAAAATACGTGATTTCGTGAAAAATTATCGTGAAGCGGCAGACGTCATAAGGCAAATAACAATAACTGAAGCTGAAAGGATCGCCAACAATCTTGAAACATACCTACTTTCAAGGAACACAGTTCCTTGCACATTCTGGAAATTCCTTACTTGGTTTTATTGATTACTTATGTGGGTATAGCGATTTTCAGATGAAAACATATCTACCTTCTCACTAGTGATTCTATACACCCGTTTAATATGTAGATTTGATGGAAGATTTCCATGAAAAATTATAAATTTACTTCTATCATTATATTAAGGACAAATTTTCTAGTATGGAGGCGAATTTTGGTATAACTTTTAACTGATTTTTTTTATCCAGCAACTGAACGCAGGATCTGTTGATTCCACTTGCTCAATCATGTATGTACAACATGTACGATTGAGGAGTCATTTAGTACATTGAGAACAGCGGAAACCTGGTTGATGTCTACTATGACCGAAAGTCGACTTTTTATGATGAGTGTGCATAGAAGGACAGTTCTCGAGAAGAAGATGATATCTGATACTATATCTGAAGAAATATTGAACAAATTATATCAAAACACTTGACAATCATTTCAAAATAATTTGAATTTCGTAGTGTGTCATTATAGTGTGTATCATCTTTTTTTCTCCATGCAGATCAATTCCATTATATTTTGAGTATACGTTTGATATGAAAACATAATTTGTAGCACTATTTCTAAATGATGCCCTACTGCCTCCCCCTGAGTTGAATCCTGGCTATGCCCATGCCAAAAATGAACATTTGTGATAGCTCATAGCTCTAAAGATATCAGAAGGTGTGGGAAAATGAAATGATAAATCCAGGTTCGTATTGAAAAAATATGTTGATGATGGTTCCTGGAAGACGAAACGTCGGATTTCCAATCTGAAAACCCCAACTTGTGAGGAAGGAATAGTGGTCATGATGAAGTGTCCTTCATTTCGATAAACTCCGTTGAATAACTTGGAAAAAATTGGACGGATATTAGGAAATCTCGTTTTTTCGTATTTCCGTATACCGGGTGTAAGAGGATCATGGTACACCAAACCATTTTCTTGAACTTAATTTGGTGATAAATCAATGAATTTGACATTTTTAACAGGATTAAATTTTTTTGTATACTATCATTGTATTCAGAAAATAATGCAGAATTCGAATATGCAATGATATACAGGGTGTTGCGTTTGAGAATCAAAAGTTATTATCACTTCCGGTGAAACTGGAAGTGGGAAATGAAACTTATTCATGTTTAAACATGACGTTCATCAAGTTAGTTGGTCATTCCAAATTTCAATCACTTATCTCCAAAACTAAAGGAGAAAAAGGGGGTGTACCATGATCTTGTTACACCCGGTATATCTCCAAAATTATTCGAATTTTCCAAGTTTCGAAACGACATTCTGTTAGGCATGAAATTTCGGAACTTTTCCATAATTTAATCGATCAGCCACCCTGTACACACGTTCATGCATGCACTATTCACAGAAATAGTAAAATCATTTCTGTGGCATATTCGTATTGAAAAAATATTTATGTATCGATCAATTTGACAATACCTAATGAAGTTCGATTGAACTAAACAAAAATCTGAATATTACTGAACTTTCATATTTGGCGAAATGGAGTGGAGTGATCGAAGAAGAGTTAGTGGAAGTGATGCCGCTTGTCAGTATAGCGACACACCTGGAAGTTTCGTGATCTGTGATAAAAAATAATTGAACATTATTTTGAACAATGTAATGCGTAAATTCTGTCTGTAGGTTACTCGAGGAGGTATTACATTCATTTTTCTTGATTATTTGAGATTTTCTCTTCTCGTTTCTACAAAATAAAAATATGAGTATTATTTCAATATATGTGTGATAGGTAGAAATCAGATGATTTGCCTCAAAATGTCACTGCGTTCAACACATTGTTCTATCAGGGAGAAAAATCCAATAGCTTG